ATGGTCAGAGTCCAGATAGGTACTCCAAAAGGAGCGGCAGTCTTGTACACAACCACGCCAGCGGTAGCTGATCGCGATGTGATCAATCTGAGTCCAGGCTTGGGATGCAGAGGGAGGACGCCAGGTGGCACATCGGCGATGACTGTGCCGAAAGTTAGTGCTAGCCAGAAACAGGTTGTGGTCTGTGCAAAGTTGCAGTAGACGGTCCCCGTTATCTGACCTGCGACCAACGAGTCCCCATCGGCCACCTAAACGACTCTCTTCTGTGCCTAGACGCCCGACCTGAGCATTCAAGTCTCCGGCTAGTACTACAATATCTGTCGAACGCACTTTCTGGAGAAGAACAGAAAACTGGTGGTAAAACTCATCCTTGATTGCATCCGGGCTGCAATCTGTCGGGGCATAGGCGGAGATGACGAAAAGACATCGTTTCTCACGCCGATTTCTTCTCACTTTGATGGAACTTTCTAATCTAACAGCACATAACCGACTGTTAATGGGGATCCAATCGACTAGTGCTGCCTCAGCTCTAGCGCTTAGTGCGACACCAACGCCAGCAAGACCAGACGAAGATGCCACAGGGTCCCCGGATAAGCGCACGTAAAACAAGCTTTTTGAAATGACAGATGTAGAGCGAATTTGTAGTACTTCACCAGAGTCCTAAATACGGGTCTCGGATAGACAGCGGACATCGATATGAAGACATTCCAAAGACATAGCCAGTCCTATCTGTTGTTCAACCTGCATAAGTGTGCGAACGTTGAAGGCAGGCAGTTTGAATGGTGCGCGTGATTTCAGAAAAAAACTGCTTCAGTCCTCGTATTCAGTGGTAACACACAGTTTTCAACCGGACCGTTACTCTAGAGTGTTTAGATAGAGTGGAATTTCCACCATAGACGAGCTGCTGTATAAGTCAAAAAAAATAAGTATAGACAGAGTAGGAAAAAAAGAGGGTGAATAATGATGTAGTAAATAATAACAATAATAATAATAATAATAACAATAATAATTGCAATAATAATAATTGAAACATTTGAATGTTCGCCGAAGCAAGAGAATTAGCTTCCGTGATCATAGACATTTCAGTTCATTAATTGTGTATGGGCTGTGATACTGCCCGGGTGCCCAAATCGAAGCAGGTGGTTTCCTTAGTGGGCCAAAACCCGAGCCTTTGACTTAACTGTCCAACCCACAAGGCTGTGGAGAAACGTAAGGATATACAGTCCCATGGTAACCGGTGACCAACGACTGTCTCATACGCCACGTGTTCTCGCAGGATACTGGAGCCATGTGCGCCATTGGTTTTTGATCCGGGTAATGTGCCGGATATTCGCTTTTCATCCTGTCATTTCCGTAAACAACACCCCCCACACGAGAAGGCAGTGAGTAGGACTTCCCTGGCAGAGGCTGTATACGCGTGGTCGTGTGGGAATATTTTGAGAGGTAGGGCGAACCCACTTCGCTCTCGGCCATAACAGGGCATTTGAGGGCTATGCTTTACTTCAAATGATATTGCTCTACCGTATATATACAACAGTGATATATATGATGGGATCGATTACTGGAGGGGGGTGTATCAGTATCAGATAATGAAGACTCGACGTCAGAGTAGGATGTTTTCAAATTAACGAATACTGTGACCATCAAACTTTGTTGTTTTAAGTACATTTTTTTATGCAAAATAATAAGTTATTTTTTCCTAATTATTTTTTGTTACTAATTTGACGACACAAACATAGTCGTTTATCCTTGTTGTGTGTTCATAAACACGCCTATCACACTATTTGCGTATTTTTACGTCTCCTTTATTTCTATTCTCTTATTTTCTCCATTTCCTTCTTTAGACTCGATTCAATATTGTCAATTACACAGACTCGATTTATTATCGTCAATATTCTATTATTATTACCCTATTTATTTATTTTTTAAAGTATGGCAACTATAATGGTAACATTATTGAAACTTGTGTATTATGACATTTTTAAAGAAACCCGAAATGGTTTCTTCACAAAACTTCTGTACCCATTAGATGTTTGTGAATATAATAATAATAATAAAGATATAATGATTGCAGTTTAGTTGATGGTAAGATATGACATTATTCTTATATAGCTAACAAAGATAGCATGCTTTCAAATATTTTACTCGAATAAATTAGTAAAAGATATATGAAGGAATCTGTCGCCACATTAAATCACTTTGATATGTTTAACTGAATTAGCCAGAAATGAATAAATGTTTCATACGACAACTGTATAAATAAATGGATTAGATAGAAGACATACACTAAGACCATATGATGATATATATATATAAGGTGCGAAAAAAGTAGTCGAAATCGCTAAACGATAAAATTTTGCGTTAAACACACTAGGTACATATAGCATTTTAGTACGCTTGTAACTGATGTGTTGTTAATAAGTTATAAATATTCCATATCATGTTTATATCACACAAGAATTATGCCGTTCGGAATATCATACGTAGGTTTCTTCAAAGGATGAGATGTCAGATGAAGAATAAACAAATAAATTTTGAGCTATTCAGAGAAAGTTCCTTATAAAGTGTTGGTACATTTGTAACTTGCTCATAACCCAAGAAAATTTTTAAACCAGGCAGCAAAATTTTTTAAAGACAAATAAATAGCGGACATTGTAGTGAAATTAAAATGTAATCATGTATTACAATCTCACATTTCAATAGCAATCGTAAGATTCTTTGAAATCTTTTGTTGCGAAAAAAGAGGTAATAAAACTGAAATAAAAATTGAGTTATGACAGTTTAATTCAGATACGTATTGACGCCGACAGACGATAAAATGTGCAGCTTAGATAGAAGTTTCTTAGCTTAATTAAATGTACTACTTATTGTAATTGTTAACGTCATTCAATATAAGTGATACGTGGTTCTATAGGGAAACATCTGACGAAGTAAATGATGAATGTGCACACACGGTTATCTTACAACCCCTCTGCTAGAAACGTGGATTTTCGACTCATGCGAACCATGCTGATGAGAGCTCCACCTTAAACACAACAGGACTCTCAGAAGTGAATCCGGGCGCAGACTTGGTATGTCAGAAACTGCGACACCTGAAAATCAACACTTTTCCGGGCCCGGGTATGGTTCGTTCTGTTATGCTGAGGGAGGCAGCTCCAGTCCTGGAAACACCGCTCAGTGTGATGTCTTCACATCTGCCAAGCCGAGGACATTACCAGAAAATGGATGCTGGCTAACATCACGTCAGTTTTCAAACGAGGTCGACGCACGAATCTTCAAGCGGCTGGCCAGTAGCACTTCTCTTAGAACCCTCAAAAACTGTAGATTCTCTGATGTGTGGCGGTCTACGTGAATACTTATTATCCATAAAACTCTTTTCGCCACAACATCACGGTTTCCAGAAAAGGTACTTTTGTATAACGAACATGCTGATCTCGGTGGACAGATGGATAACCATCCTCGACCGTAAGCGGAAGGCTAAAGTTTTATACCTTGACTTCTCAATTATATATCTTATCAAAAGCTCGAACGAACAAATATCAAATTAATTTTAACTGATTGGCTCACTTCATATCTAAATTGTCCACATTTAAGGTCATGATTATCTTCGCTTTCCCCCAGACTATGGAATGTTCTTATAACGGAAAGAGAACGATGGAAATCCCTCTGCAGCTTCTCTGTTGAACAGTATTGTCATTTATTTGTTCCTTCTCCCTGTTGTGTATTTTAACCTTTGTTCAGATCTCGTCTAACCACATTTTTTGTTCTTCAGTCTTCCTCGTTTGAGCCTTTATTATGTGGTTTTGATTAAAGAGTTATCTTTTGTTACCTAAGTTACCATTGCATGTTGCCGGACCATTGACAGTAAAGTCGTGTCTGAACAAACTCTAGGTCACGGCGTGGTTCAGTGTGTGGCTGTTAACCTTTTGATTGTCTGCTTGGGAGGGTTGCTGGAATCCCTGCGGATAGATATTTGATCCCATCTTGTTGGGGATATTTTTATTGATCCTCAAGTATCAGGCCTCTTTGCGTTAACTGTTTCCTTTATTGTTTTGTGCGCTACTTTGCGTTCGAGAAACTTCTGACTGTATAGCACAGGCCGTACCGTTTGAGGTATTTTGTACTTTTGATATAATTTGTTGTTTTCTAACTCAGAACCGTTTATATTGAGCAGAGAATGTGTTTTGATATAATATAATACGAGTATCTCAAAAACGCGTTGTGAGCTATACAGAGGAACGTGGTTTGGTCTAATCGAATAAATTTTGGGTTCTTCAGTCCGCTGTTGCAACGGAATATTGGTTGTTCGGTCTCTACAGTCCTAGTCAGGTCCCCCGGGTTTGACTACTAAGACTTCTTTTCTCGATTTATATAAACAATCTTTCACACCAGGTACCGTCAGATTTATTATTTTTGGCTAATGATATGCAACTGTGAAAGGAAGTTCGCAACCAAGGGGATAAACTGGCATTTCAGGAAGAGCTGACGCGATTTAAAATTGGATAGACTACGAAACATCTAACTTTAACACCTCAGAGTGTAAAGTAATCCATGTGGGACGTATTACAGGTTACGTATGTAACTTAGGTATCTCCTCTCTATAGGTATCCTAAGTTGAAAAGAACTGGGGGTGTTGATACAGCATAACGAGAAACCCTAAGCTAACTGCAAAAAATTGCCTTCGAGCAAATCTCTAACTGGTAACGTTGAGGAGCATTTTCGGCCAGTTCGATCAAGGAACTTCACACATATTCTTCAGCAGATTTATTAGTCCATATTAAATGCATGGAAACGTAGTATTTCCTTCATCAATCTAAAAAACTTGACATATTCTTAAAGTCTAAGGACAGTTTCACTGTGATATACTCACACTTTTCACTCTTCCCCTTTTATGGTTAATATACCTAGGTTTCAATCTGGAGGCATTTGTGATACACTACTACCGAATATGGAAGCCCTTTAAGCAAAAGCTTCTTCTGTTCCTTCCAGAACCAATTTGTTTCAAGGTTGCGTGGCGGTAAACCAAATGTGGCAGATCAAGTGTTTCGACTGAAGGTTAGCGTACATTGATTTGGTTTATTGAAATCTAATGATGATCAGTCATACATTAGTGATCGTGCCTATTATGTTAAATCATCAATTTATAGAGCCAAAAGCATATCTATTTCGTGTGGGAATTCATGGTACCTTCACCTCACTATTCATATATGAATATGAGTATACAATTTAAAAAGTACATACGTTCATTGAAATTGTACACTTATCAGTCAGTCATCTACAACGTCATATGTGTCATTGTGTACTCTTCACTTACTACTCTCGTCAATCGTTTCTCTTTTCACGTTATCCAGTCTAAGTTGTAGTGTATATACTTCAGCGTTTATATTTAAACGCTGGGCACGATTATAATAGTGATAGTAAGGAAAAAAGACCTACAATCTGTGTTATTCCTTTTCTCTTATGCTTCTGTGAGTGTCTATTCTTCTCTTGAATGAGTCAATGGCTACAGAATAGTCGGACTCTGGAGCAATGATAAGGTCGCAAAAACTTTCTGCCTCGACCACATAGCTTCGATGTTGTTTGTGTGCACTCCGGTTGTCGAGTAAACAAAATGCCACTTGCGGATAACGACACGATGCACATAACCGAGCATATGTAGGAGTCTGCACGGTCTCTAATTATCCGTATATATTGTAGTACCTGGCTGCAACCGGTGTTACCGATGCTTTTATTATCCAGTTCGCAATAATTGGCATAATTTGCCCTAGTTATTAATTATATATGGGGTTTTCATCACGAACTGACATCAGCTATAATGCCAAAACTCTATTTAGCCAAACGGATGAACGACTTTCGTGGAAAATCCGAGATCTGCTATCTTATACGTGATTGGTTCGTCCACAAACTATAGTCTCGCCAGCTTTTCCTCTCTTTTGTGAATATAAGTCTCTACTCTCTGACTTTACAATCCACAAAACTAGTACTGTTTAACCTAGTTTTGGTTCATTGTATGTTGCTCAAAATTCCCAAAACTTCTACCCTATATATCATAAATAGTCTACAGAAAAAGTTGTAAAGGAATCTGATTTTCTGAAACTTTTATCAGTCACTAAAAATCATACGGTCGTTCCTTAGACTTTTGCTTAACCCAGATCTGATTTGTTTTCGCTCTTCATCATGTTCAGAACCTGATGGGATGAGTTTACGAGAATCCATCAGTGCAATAGACCTTGAAGAAATCCATTGGTTCTTTGTAACCCTTTGGTTTAAATCACTGATAGATGTCACTGCTGTTTCCACAGCTATTTGTATATCTTTCCAAGCAACATCTGGGTCAGCTTCGTTTTCAGAACTACCTAAGTGTGACCTCAGTTGTTCCTGGAACCTACTTTTGGTTTTCTCGCTACTCAATTCAGTTCTAATGGGTCTTTTTACTGTGGCTTTTTTGCGTCCAGTGAGGTGCAAGCAGATGCGTGCCCGTAACAGGGCATATTCCGAGTTCAAGCAGGTACTCCAGAATGAGCGACAATCTTCTACCGACCCTATTGAACGGTGACTGACGGCAATATGGTCTATTTGAGTCAATCGTTGGTTTGGTGTAGGAAGTCGCCAAGTCAGACGATGTCTTTTCTTATGCTTTAAATTTGTGTTTACTAAAAAATAAACGATTGTCTGAGCACAGTTGCAGCAGACGATCACCATTATCTGTTCGCTGAGCCGGAATAATAAAATATCCACCTAAATGCCTTTCTTTTTGGTTTACACTACCTATCTGTGCATTAAAGTCACCTCCTGTGGGTACTGTGTCTGAACGTTTAGCTTTCTGAAGAATTTCAGATAGCTTTCTGTAGAACTCATCTTTCAATTCTTCCGAGCTGCAGTCGGTGGGAGCGTAGGCATAAAGGACAAAAAGGCAACGACGTGTGTCCCTATCCTTCCGAGTTCTTACGGAGCCGTTTAGCCGAACAACACATGAACGACTGTTAACAGGGATCCAATCTAACAGTGCTTGTTCCGCCCTCATTCTTGGTGCTATCCTACACCGGTCAGTGCACGAGAACTGGCCATCATGTCACCAGATACACGGAGGGTGTGTCTCGTTGGCTCTCCGTTTCGCCGAGGTGAGGTCAATTGAATGACCACACTAGGATTCTGTATGCATGTTTCGAAGACATGGCATACATCAATGGTAAGAGAATCTAGGGTTTTAGCCAAGGAAGCTTGCTGACCAGTTTGACATAAGGTGCGTACGTTGAAGGCTCCAGTGTGTGGTTTGGAGTGAGGTTTCAGTTGACCTGCGGCAGTGTTTTGCGCGGTAGGATCGTTGGCTATGGTGACACTTGAGGGGGAAGCCGAAAGAGGAAGTTTAGTGTTGAAAGTCGATGTAGGAGCAATGATAGAAATTGAAGAAGGAGGTTGATTATGAATACAGTGGTCTTGAGTGTTGTCAGAGGTATGAGGACGGTTATCACTCCCCGGTTGCGCACACCGTGGAAGGGTTCTTCTGGAGGTACCTGGAAAGGAAATTGGATTAGGGGTGGTCTTAGTAACCTGAGAACGTGACCGCAATGCCCAAGGGACAATTGCTTGACGTCGGCCACACACGACCTTTTCATGGGTAATTTTTGTGTTAGCTCCGTACTTGTTGAGACCTTACCACCAGAGACGGATATCCGTGGGATAAGGCGAGGTGTGTATTTTAAGGGCCGACCTTTTCTAACCCCACCCCTCCTTGTGGGAAGGCAGCATCGCTGTCATGCTTGTTGTCCGATGGAAACACCTTACTGCTGCCACACCTCTGTACCGTCAGCAGTACGACTTCGCCTTCGGACCTTGGTTTTGTTGCTTTCAGTCTTACCGCTCTTCAACCGACCTGTCTGACATAGTAGGACCTTGAGGAACGGTTGTTCCAGGCAGTATAGCTCGGTTTCTTCATCACAATCGGCAAGTCCGACCATCACGTCAAGGTAGCAACAACGGTCTGAAATATCTCATAAGCGGTTGTGTGTGATTGGACTCAAGCAGTTGTATCTTCGGCTTTTTGATCAGGCTTTTAGGTCGCTAAGACCACTACTAATCTAGTCCATCATTCACATTCTTCACAAGGTGCTTTCCTACAGTGTGTGGAACTGGCAAGTGACAAATATCCTCCTACTTCTAACAGGACACAAGACCACCGTTTTGGAGGTCGAGTCTCTCCAAAGGAAAGTTGGCGGAAAAGATAACCGAGATAGGTAATAGTAGACGACCTTAAGTGAACGTTAAACTTGTGATCGAGAGTTTCCTTGGCAGTTTGACATTGAGTAGCGTACCAAAGGAGTATATCAACCTTGTACAGGTTGTTTGCTTACAAGATCCTGATTGAGTTAGGGCCTATGGTTAGCTGTCATGAGAATTGATAACCTTAGGCGGTGTTCTTCAAGATTCTCCATTTTCTGCATTTTCATTTAATCTCGTCATAGACATCCTTTTAGAAATAAGCATCGAACATCGGCTGTTAAGGCAGTGAATATTGATCAACCGAGGTAGTTGGAATATGTAATACGTACTCACAACTACTGCCTACCTTGGGGTGCGATGTTGCTTAGTGCAGAAGGCGGTTGGATGAAAATTTGGGGTAGCCAAACTAAAACGTTGTATTAGTCCATGAAATCATTAACTGCCTAACAGCCAAGTAGGTTGATGTCCACATGTTTATTATAATTAATAGCTGGAGATTTTGGGTGACAGGGATCAAAACCATCCTCAGCGACGCAAATGCATTCACTATTTATCTTCTCTTAGCGCCTAAACTCCGAAATCTTATTCTATCTTTTCCTACTACTACTACAATTGGATTTCTCATGATAATTTTACCTCACTGCTAATTTTGTGTCACAACTAGAACCGACGCGTATATATATGCTAGATTTTACGTTGATTATAACTGACTGACTATATCAAATAAATTACTTATATTATTATTAGGTGTTTATCAAATGTCTTGTCAATTTTCGCAGTTTAGTTATATGAATTGTGGTCGTCTGATTTATTAATCTTGTAGTTACTTGATTGGAATTTCTAGCCTCTTCGAGAAGTACGCTTGAAGGATTGATTTAGTAAAGATGGAAACCGTATGTTCAGAATATTCTACTGATAGCGTTTTCTAACTTACATTTTAGTATGATGTGAAATCAAACCAGTGTCATGTTGGGATTTTGTTCTGCAGTGAATGCAACAACATGTTGTATCCTAAAGAGGATAAGCGTACAAAAACATTATATTACGCATGTCGTAACTGTGATTATTCCCAGGAAGCAGACAATCCCTGTGTTTATATCAACAAACTCGAACAGGAAGTTGAGTAAGTATCCATACCACTGTTTTAAGTCGTTTTTATTTATTTGTTTTACTTACTAGCGTTCTTATGATGACTTACGTATGTCAGAATTCAGTGTCCTGTATACATAAAAGTAGGAGAATCATCAAAGAAAGTATGAGATATTTTGCTCATACATATCTTGTTAAAGTAGTTTCAATGTATTTAGAAGAGAAGAAATCGCTTCAGATAACCACTATTTTGACAGTGACGGGATTCCAGTGTGAATATAACCAATGCTTAGTGCAATTCCGAGATGAATCATATTATTTGTTTAACTTGTTCGTCTCTGCATTCTATTTTGCATCAACTGATGGAGTCTCAAGTTAATTAGTTTCACAACTTCAGAGACTCCACCTGACTGACCATACCGCCTCACTATATCATATGATGACAGTTCAACGCTTTTCATGCAATAATGATGGTTTCGAAAATACCAAAGAGACTGTTAGTGGAATTTCGGTCACTCAAAGAATCATGGTCTCTTTAATGTCAAAGCATAAAAGTAATGTAACTCAGGATTCCTTACACTACTATGTTGTTGATGAATGCAAAGTTTTGTCTTAATGGTTTCAAAAGTGTCAAAGATCGGCTTTTGATATACGTAGAATAATTTATTTATTTAAACACATAAACATTGGTTCAAAGAGGCACGAAATAGATATGCTCCACATAAACCATTGGATTTGTGTTAAGCTTGGGATACTGCCCGGGTACCCAAACCGAAACAGGGGGCCTTCGACCTGTAGGTCTAATCAACTGGGTAGTGGAGCAACGTCAGGAGATGCAATCCCATGGTAGCCAGTCACCAATAAAATGTTCATACCCCATTTGTTCCTTCGGGTACCTGGAGCCAGCCCATGTGCACCATTGGTTTGGAATCAGGGTTTTCCAACTTCCCTAGGTGGACTGTGTGTTCACCAACCCAATTAAAGCGCTGGATATTCGCTTTTTTCCCCTCAATTTTGTAAACAACACCCTCCTTCTCGAGAAGGCAGTGAGTAGGACTTCCCTGTCAGAGGCTATAGACACGTGGCCATGTGAGAGCATTTCGAGGTGGAGAGCTGATTCTGTCCACTCGCGATCATACCAGGGCATGTAGGACAATTTTCCTTACTGTTCTGCCACTAGCCACATCCAAGTCCAGAGACGTTTTCACAGTTCACAAAATGTTTGCCTCAAGTGATGGGTGGAGGAACCGGTTGCTGTCAGATAAAGATGGAATGGGGGAATCGTACCTTATCCTACTTGTTGCTTGACAGAATGGAGAAAGATGGAAGTAAGAAGCACAGTAGGAAAAACGTTAGTATATTTATAGTTTTAACATGAGAAGATCATAGAGTGTTCTCCAAGTATCGACCAGTGCTGATTGGATAGGAATTAGCCGATCAGCGTTCGCCAAAGCAATCGTGCACTGAGCATGATTTCATACAATTTATGTCCTGCTAACAGGGTAGTTAGACCAGCGGAGGTATACTCACTGGCAGTTTTATAGTCTCGTCAATGTAACACTGTATTATGAAATGTACAACTTCAAATTATAAACTTTTTCTGTTAATTTATTCGTGGAATATTTTTTTAATAAAATAGTATTTCTTTTATCCATCTAAAGTGAATTGGCTTTAATTGTACCGGATGTTGTTCATGATCCAACACTGCCTCGAACAGAAGATCATATATGTCGTCGATGCGGTAAACAAGAAGCTGTATTTTTTCAATCACAGACATTGAAAGCGGAAGAAAATATGCGTTTATATTATGTTTGTACCAATGTTGAATGTTTACATAAATGGACTGAATAGATAATCTTATGAAAGTCCTGAATAATAAATAAACTTGTAAAAAAAGTATTAGGAACGTTTTGAATTTGAGTCATTTACATAGAATTTTACTTATGTTCTTATAAATGGTCACCTACCTAACACGGAAGATTCTCAATTTATTGGCGTATTTTGATATGATGATGAAGAGAACCAATTGTTCTAAACACAGTTGGCTCTTAAATCGATCGTTATCTCTAACCACCTCGTTACATCTCGACATAATGCAAGCGATGTAGCGTCACCTAGACTAATTAGCTACATTTCAAATTTGCCGATAGGATTCGATTAACACGAAGAAGGACTTGAAATACATGGCATTAGTCACTACCCAATGATCTTTCAATTGTAAAAATCGTGTTGTCGTTGAGAGAACTGTACGCATGAAGTAGTTTATTCGTCATTGGTGTGTTTTTTATTCTAACATTAAAGTCTCAACATGTTCAATAATTTGAAATTAAACCGATGCCAGGACTAATTTTTGGTGTATAAGATGAAAGAAGATGGTAGTCAGCTTTCGGTGGTGCCAACATGGTTTGTGTAGGGTAACCTACTTGACATAATCATAGAATACTTACCAACCACTAACAGTTATCCTCAACACAAATTTCAAGGGGAATCTTGTAACAATTACAATTCTATTCTTATATCTTTTCACCAATGATGAGTTTCTCACTCTCTTTAATATTGAAGGCTTTTCATCGTAACACAAGACAATAGTTCCAAAGTAATATCAACTATTTACACAGCACTCTTTTGAAAGGAAATTATTCAATCAATGTTTTCTAGAATTCTGATATGCTTGGAAAAGAAAGAAAATATCAGTTATTGGACGTTTTATTCCATTATAAACATCGTAGTAGTAGTATATAATTTTATTTTGAGATAATCTTGGTCACATAAAGGTGTTTCCTAAAAACAATATTAGAACCTAACACGTTAATGATGGATAAGATGCTATTGTTTACCGTAAACAAGTAATAATTCAGAAACTTTGAGCAAGTTTACGGTTGCATACTCGTATGCTTATTTATCTCTTAAATGCCCCTAAGTGCCCTGGTACGGCCGAGAGTAGGGGGAATCAACTCTTCTTCTCGAAATGCTCTCAAGTGGCCACGTGCATACAACCACTACCAGAGGAGTCTTACACACTGCCTTCTCGTGTTGCGGATATTGTTTTTGAAATTTAGAAGAGAAAAAGCGAATGTCTGTCGCTTTAATTAAGTTGGTGAATACTTCGATTCCATTTAGGAGGGTTGGAAAACCCTGATTCCAAACCAATGGTGCACATGGGCTGGTCCCAGAATCCTGAAGGAACTAAAGGGCGCATGAACCGGTCGTTGGTCACTAGTCACTACAGAACCGCATCTCCCAATGTCGCTCCACGTCCTTGAAGATTGAACTTTAAGGTTGAAGACTCCAGGTGCGGCCCTCTAAGAAAGCCACGTTATTTAGTCTGGGCACCCAGGCAGTATCACAGCCCACGCACAAGTTAATTGTGTTGTGCATATGTATTCCGTGCCTCTTTTTACCAACATGTGTGTGTTCAAATAATAATAATGAATAATATTAGCTGCTTACCACCACTAATATCTATGCAAGAACAGTTATTAAGTCATTAGAAGATAGAATTAAAAACAGGCGGATGGGTAAGGCACTAATTAGTCGATGTTTGTAATTATATAGGATGAATAGTGTGATAATTAAAGAAGTCGTAAAGAGTTTACGTAAGATTCAAAACATCCGATTAGATTGTTATGGGTTACATAATAACTAGACAGGATTTGAAGGGTTTACTTAAGTTCTGGGAATTGAGTGACTGGGAAAGATCGGTGATGAGGAGATTGTTTTGAAGTACTGTTGGGTCGGCTTCCGGAGAACTTCAACGGAGCCTCCAGAGGCCCAAAAAGGAGCCGAAGAGTCCTAGCCAATCAGAGCACGATGGAACGTTCGAGGATTCCAGCGTGGCGTGGTATCATTGGTCGGTAGCATAATATAACGTTAACGGATTGGCTGAAATATGATGTTGAT